GGAAGTTGGTGATTACCTGATAACAGACTGGGATCAGTTATGGATTCACACTCCCAAAAGAAGATTTTTCAAGGCTTTGTTTCTTCGCTTTCTTGATTTGATTGAAGCCATTTGATTCTGTTCCGAGTGCATGCACGTTCTTTCAAAATTTCTTTCTCATCTTGAAGGCTGTATTGGCCTAGCTGGAGGGTGTGACGCAAGAAGTGACTCTCCATGATCTTTGTCAATGCATCGGCTAATTGAGCACCACTGTGCACCCACCTCAATGTCGTCCCTTCAGCTAAGAAATCTTTGATCGCACGCGCTTGCAGTTGTGTCCTGAACTCTTGGCATGCTGGAGGTGCTGTTCTTGTCACAAGGTCGTACAGTGACTTGCAGTCGGTCACGGCAATGGATGGATCAGCTTTGAATGTGGCAGTAGCATATGTTGGTGGTAATGTTTTGAGGGTGTTCGTGGGATTTTTCCAATTTGTCTTGGGATTCCGGATCCAACTCCAAAATAGCCTAAGCCATGAAAGTTGATCAAGAGTGGTACTTAAAGAAGTTGTTTCGGCTGACAAGGTACTGGTTACAACCCGTTGTATTTTCTTGCAACCCCAGCTGATAGGGTTCACTGGGCACACATGATTTTTGGCAATATCCTCGTGTGTTGCCATGATCATCATTCCAGTATGAGACTCTGGTTGTTTTTGAGATGCAAAGGAAGCATCAGAAAAGGCTAGAAACCTTATTCTCTCCATTGGTATTGATTGTATTCTGATGGTGGTGTTCTTGTGTCTCTTTGCTTCATGGAGGACTTTGTTTCCGTGAATGAGAGTTTCAATAGTTGCTTTGTTGATGTCACTTTGAAGGAAACTGAGTCTACTGGATAAATCAGGTCTGGTATTGACTGATGCATACTGAAGGGATCCGATTAAGGCCCGGAGATCTTGGCGTTCACGTTCGGTGACTGGCAGGTCGAGTTGAGCTTTTCGCTGTGGTTGTATGTGGATGGGATTTATTTTTGTGACGTATTTCTCTTGTGACATCGTTATACTGTGATCATTGTTCTGTGTTAATTCAATGCCTGTGAACACAAAATTTTGGGACTTCTTAGATCCAAACGGAAATTTGGTCTCAAGTTTTTGAAGTTAGGCTAAGAAATAAGCATCTCCTCCACACAATCCATCATCAACATGTATGCCTAAAATTCCAGAGGGTTCAATGGCATTCTCCTTGTATAATAGGTACAAACATGGATCGAATGGTGATGGAATGAAGTTGAGGGCCCTTAAGGTCTTGTCCAATTCTGTAAACCAAAGAAACGGAGCATCAATTAATCCATAGGCAGATTTCACCAACCGGCACACTTCAGTGGATTGGAGCTGCATGGCAGCACTCATCTCGGGGACAGGTTCGATTGCAATCACTCGACCTTCCTGAGTCTTCCCTTGCAGGAACGCAGCTTTGATGTCGAATGACATTAGTGTCCATCGCATTGAGGCAATGACCTGTGCAATCAACATTTTAGATGTTCTTCCCAAAGTTGGACTGTCTTTAGGAATCGTATCTAACTGGGGATCCTGAAAACCGAGGACAACTAGTCTTGCTTTGGCTTTTCTCATTTTTCCACCATTGGCCTTTTGGTCGGCAATTTCTGTGAGGGGCTTCCAAACATACAGCCATCGGCATCTCAGGATTTGGCTGGGAGACAACTCGTGTCTAAACATCTTCTCAACAGTTCCTGTTTGGAGCCAGTTTTGAACTTCCTTGGCTTTCGCGCTTTCAAATTCCAAACGTTCTTCTGGAGTCAATGTGCTCAGTTTCACTTCAGTTCTCTGCCTTTTGGCGTTGGTAGCCAGGAATAGGAATTCTTCCTCTGTCGGACATTCTTGGGACTGGCACATTGATTCCACCTGGTCTTTGGAAAATTCCAGCTCGGCACGCCAAACGGAAGTGTCTCCTTCCGGATACAAAATCTCATTTGGATCATCATCTGTGCATGTGAGCAGATCGCACAAGAGCTCATCGCTCGAGTCATCAGGGATTGGGATTTCATGTGGTGCAAGTTCGGGTGCACTTGGATTATTAGGGTCATTGCTGGAACTAGTGGAATTGGGATTATGAGCATGGGGTGAATGGGCATTGTCAGGCTCTTGGTCAGGTTGATCTGATGATGCATTGCTGGTGGTTCTTGGGTGGTTATTGGAGGTTGTCTGCATGTCGTCACCTGGTGGTATGGTCATATTGGAACTTGTCGTTTGTGGGTTACCAGGATTCTGATTGGGGTTATTGGAATTGGTAGTATCACTGTGGATAATTTTCAATTGTTCTTCCAAGGGTATGAGCTGAGCTTCCACTGCACTCACAGGACGTACATGTTCAGGTGCTGCACGAACCAGAGTCCCAGAATTATTGCAAAACACTGCGGTGGCTCCTTCTTGGATAACTACTTTGGCTGGTCCTATCCATGATCCCTGATTCAAGTGTACCTTCCAAATCATCACCCATTCTCCTGGTTCGTAAGCACCTCGTGAAGGTCGATCACGGCGCAGGGCCGCTCTTCGCAAGGACATGTCATTGTCTGCTGCGTGGAATGCCTTCCTAGCAGTTTCCCTTTTTGCAAGAAGCTCTCTGAACCTGACACCTTGGTGACCTTCTGCATTGGCAATGGCATGTGCTGGTAAGGAATCATCGCTCACCAGTGATCCTGGAACTCGAAGGCCTTTGCCAAACACCAGTGTTTCTGGTGAATATCCATGTCTCAAACCACACGCATTCTTGGCCATGGTGCGGTGCATCAGGGCTTGTTGAAGTTGTTGATAGTTTGTGACATCATGTTCAAGTTCATACTTCCCGAGCATGTTTTGAAGAACTCCACCGTGGCGTTCAATGCGGCCAACTTGCCAGTGCGCATCTGGGGGCACTACAACAAACTGTACATTCATGCTCTGCATGTATTCCTGAAAGCTTGAAGACAAGAATTCGGAGGCAGAGTCCATCAAGACAGTATTGGGGGTCCCGGCCCAGTTCAACCATCCGGAAATGAACTTTTCCTGAATTTCTGCTCGATTTGGGGCAATTACTGCTGTGTGATAATTGGTCCCATGGTCAATGAAGTGATAGAAGTGGAATTCTTGATTTTGTCTGTTTTTCCACTTAACCCCATCTATGGATACCTTATCCCCAAATTCCAGTTCTTCCTTGAGCGTGGCTGGACGCTGCAACTTCGGACGCTGTTGCATCTGGCATGTTGAGCACTTCAAATCCAGTACCCCTTGATACAGTTCTGAACTGTACCCTCGCTGTTGGAGAACTTTGCTAAGCTTTTGAGGGTCCGGATGACCTAGATTCTTATGCAATCGAATGGCTATCTTCTTATTTTCAGGGTCCATGCTCATGAACTTCGGGCCGTGTTGAGTGCTGACTTCATCGATTGCACTTGGGTCTAGTGACTCATGGATGGGTTCTGGATTTGGCCTCTGCATTAGTCTGACCTCATGAGTCTCTTCGGCTGGAGACACTGCTGGTGGTCCTGAGTCAGGCATGTCAGTATTTGACCTCTCCCAAACCCCTTTATTGTTCTGCAGTGGCTGGCTCGGATGCTTGAATTCTCACGCTGGCTACGCTGGGATCATGTGCTTCTGGATTGCGAGCAAAAACTGTTATATTCAAGAAACATGGATGAGAGCGCCTCCATAGCTGCCGGTTTGAGAGGTATTTCCACTCCTCCCATTGGTCTTCTACCAAAACCCTTTTTGAGACTCTCTGTACTATGATGGCCCTCCGGAAGGGGGCCTCATCTGGTACTAAGTCTTTTGGGGGCATTATTGTTCTTTCAGTTCCCTTGCATGCTATGACCCGTACGATCTGCTTTTCATGGAACAACTCTTGGAGGTCAGTAAGAATTTGAGGCTGATCGATTTCTTTCCGACCTACCCGGGGAACCACTTGAGATATCTGGGAACAGATACGATCACACAGACTGTTCATGCTAGGGGCTTCTGGGGTTTTTCCAGAAGTTCTTCTTCTTTTGGCAGGCATTTCGGCAGGCTCAATCAATTCGCTGTTTCTCAGTTTGGCTCGTTTCGGAGGAGGTGCACTGGAAGCACTGCTTCTTCGTTTGGTATCAACGGCAAATGCATTCGCAAAGGCAAATGGGACCTCTTTTGCACATGATATTCTTGTGAGGACTTTTGCAAGAGCTCGAGCAAATTTCCGGTTGTACCTTTCAGAAAATTCTGTTCTCCTGATTCTGATACCCTTGAAAATGGTCTCACCCGCGAGTTGTTGATGTTCATGTTGATGGTTACATGTTCGGCCGTGGAATTGTGAATAAAACTGTTGGGAAGTGGTGGCAATCTCCATCCCTTTCTTGTACAAAAGTTGGTTGACTGGATCTCTCATAAGTCCAACACGACACATGTCAAACTCTGTGACCTGGGTACCCTGGATGACCTCTTTCAGCAATGGGGTCCTCAACATGATTGACTTGGCTGGTTGCTCCCAATGCATATGACATCCTCGGCGGACTTGGTGTCGGTATAAAACCAACCCTAAGGCCAACTGGTACAGGTTTTCGTCTCTGAGTCCTTGAATCCTTTGAAAACTAGCTTCACTCTTGGATTCACTCAGGTGACTCCAGGCACACCATGGCCCACAGGTTGGGCTATACCATAGATGTTTGGGATTGCAGGCATGGATCTTTGCAAACAAAAGTTCTCTCCCTTCTTTGGTGGCAACATCCCCTTCTTGGTATCCAAACCTCACAGCTCGGTATCCCATGTTGTTTACTTGTTTGGTGAGTTCACTTTGGGGACCACAGAGAACTTCCATTACCTGCACCATCGGCTCGGAACGAATGTTTGGCTTTGTTGAGACCTCGTGCATTTCTTTGGTAAATTGATTGACAAGTGATTGGAATTTCTTTTGACGGTGATTCATTTGGTTGCTATGGAGGTTGATTGACTCAAAGTCTTGATCTATGTCTCCTGCCAAACACAGATGTTCCATGGGACCTCTCATTGCCCGGGACGCAAGAGGCTCAGGATCTCTGTCAGGGCATTCTCTACGGCAAGAACTCGGTTCTGCATAGCGTTCATGTCTTCCTGGAATTGCGTGGTCACCGGCATGGTGTGGATCTGCTCCATCACATCCCATGGGTCGTTGGGATCTTCGCTCATGACGGTCATTGCATCGACGTGTGCCTGGTTCGTCATGTGGGCTGACGCTTTGGCTTTGGGGAGTACTTTGCAGCGAGGCTGTACCACCCCTTGTTGCGTCTCGGTCTCCTCCAGTGTTGGGAGACCATTGTCGATCTCGAGCTGTTGCACCATCTTTTCGACATAGATGATCAGCTTCCTGTGTTCTTCTCGATGGCTGTCTGAGTAGGTTCTGATGAACCATTTCATCCATCCCTTCTCGGTCTCCCACATCTCGAGATAGGACTTGCCCACATGCGCTTTTCCAAACGCAATCTTGCAGTTGCCCATCTCTTCTAACGTCTTCTGCTCGATGGCTGCTACTCCGTCGGGAGACGTTTGAGCCATGACTCGATCCACTCGGCTGGCAAGGCTCATGGCTTTGGCGATCCTGAAGGCTCTGGACAAGTTCAATGAACTTGGACGAGGTGGTCTCGGGCCTGGAGATCTCGGCATGAACTGGCTGTTCTACAAACCCTTGGCATCGGCTGCTACTGTACACCTCTTGGCATGTTTGTGGACCATTGGGTGATTTCAAAACTGGCACCTGGATACCTGGGACCTCGGCTGCACTTGAAAGGTCGATTGCTGGTTTTTGGCACTCTGAAAAATCGCTGCTCACGAAGGTTTCTGCAGTGGACAGTAAGGTCCTGCATTGTGGTCCCTTCTGTGCTTGGATTAATTCACGGATATCCAGCATATACAGGCCTTTGGGGGTCAAGTGCAATTTGACATCACAGTGCAAAAAGGGACTCGACAGGACTTGACGCTCACTATTGATGCTTGCCCTCAGTGTCCGTATCAGGGTGTTGGAAAGCAACAAAGGAGTTTCACCTTCAACAATAGCTACCTTCAAACCCAAACCAATGGACGTAAGAGGAATCACTAAAGCTTGTTGACTATCCAAAGTTCCCTGATTACCAAATCTAAAGGTGATTTCACATTTTGTTCGACACAGGTTCTTTCGGACATCATGCGGCAGGCTTTCTATGAACGCTGGCAGCAGTTTGCTACCAATCACTGACTTCGTTGCACCGGTGTCGAGAATGCCACTGGTACCATGGGTGGAGAAAAGAATCATCTCAGGTTCAAAAGGTGCGCAGTCATTCTGGATCTCCATGTGCTTTTCGGCGAGGTTTTCATTCCTGGGACCATGACTCTTCGGGTTATCTAAACTTACCCCCCAATACCCTTTCATTCGGAGGCGTTCCCGGAGTGCATGAGGAATGGCAGTTACAACATTAATTTCATGCATGCTAGGTTCATCGAGGGCGGCTTCATGTATGAGAGGCAGTTGCATGAACTCCATTGGCAAGGCATTGGGCTCGGATGCATCATCAAGGGGCTCAGCAGTGGTGGTCATCGCTGCTGATGTTCCGGCTGCACTGGTGGACGCGCTACCCCTAGATCTTTCAGGGCACTCAGCTTTCCAATGCCCTTTCTTCCCGCAGATTCTACATGAGCTTTCGAGTATTCGTTGTTGCAAGGACTTCTTTGGAAATTTCCCAAAAGACTTTCCACGACCCTTGTTGGAGTATCCTTTGCCCTTCCCCTTATTGGGACCTACTGGCCAGAAACCCCTGTTCTTGAATCGATCAGAAAGCCTTTTTCGAGCCTCGGAGTACGAAGTAAAGGCAGCTGCAAGATCTTCATCAGATTGAACGGTGTCAGCCATCGCTGACTCATAGTCCGCGATAAGGGCTGCGTCCTCGTCAGCTTCTTGCAGTAGGCTCTCAAAGAACTCCTCCTCAGTGATTTCCTCGGTGGCATAAACCTGAGACTCATGTTGATTTTCATCATCGTCCTCCACAACTAGAGCTTGACTGTCATAGATCTTACCTCTGGTCTTCTTCTGTCCGATCATTTCATTGAAGAAGGCAGTTCCCAACATACGGACTGACTTGCTCACTTTGTCCACAGTCAACGTACCTTCTTTGTCCGCTCCACTCTCAACGATCACTCTCTTTTTGTCTTCTGTACTCAGAAGGGACCCTCGCAGGATGATGTAGGCATGAACCTCATCCAGGTCGATCTTCTTGGATTTCAACTCTGACCAGTTGACATCGCATCTTGCCAGAAAGGAGTCGTTTGACTCGTCTTGTCGCTGCACGCACTTAAACAGTGCCTTTTCCACAGTTTCATACTTACGTTCCAGATTCACCTTGCCCCATTGACCACCAAGTGTGGTCACCAGCAACTGAATTCCTGCCTGGTCGTTGGTGAGGAGCTTGTCACGGTTCAGCTGGAGCTTTTGAAACGCTGTCCCTGTAGTGTTCAGCATAAGACGGGTAATCAACTCATTCAGTTTCGATGCCGGCCAGATTTCGCCCAACAGTTCTACCTTCTGAGTATATTGTTCAAGGTCATCTTTGGAGGGATCAAAACTCGGAACCAGGGTGGCCAGATTGTTGGAGACATTGTTTGTAACTTCCCCTGTATCACCTGCAGCCTGTGACATTTGCGTCACCCCTCGATGTTTTCACCTGAGTAAAACAAAATTGCCCTGGAGCTTTGTTGGTAGCTCCGCTACCAGTGAGAACCTGGTTCTTCACTGGCAGCCAATCTCCAAAATCTCAAATGCAAGCTGAAGGCCCTTGTTTTCCCTCAAGCGCAGCACAACGATCTTGGAACTCCGCACGGCAGCAAAACTCGGATGCCAAATGGATGGCAATTGCACCTGGTATGGATTGCTGTCCACAGCAATTGGAAAAGACCGGCCTCAGTCTTATGGCCCAAGCACTTACCACGACCCACCCTCCGCAAGGGCTGCCTCAGCCTAAAGTGGCTATGGCGAAGAGCATGCTCATCCCCTGAATGGAAGTTGGTGATTACCTGATAACAGACTGGGATCAGTTATGGATTCACAATATATATATACAATTATATACATAGAAGATTGCAGAAGATTGGGTACTCAAGCCAGCGAGGCATCTCAAATGTAAGCTGATTGTAAGCTGTAAGCATCCAACCACCCAATCCTACAGTACAATTCACTCCTAGAAAGGAACCCGTGAAACCCATTTGATGGGATGGTAGCAACACTGGACTCACCAGGGACGAGTGCCAGATAGGTCAACCTCAATGTGTTTCCCCCAAAAAACAATGACGAAACATGGCCTCCAAAAAAGTTGATGCTTGACGATGCTTCAACGGAGGACTTGTGGGAACACGGTTGGAGGATGATCCACAACGAAACAAAGATAAACAAGTAATTAAGTATGGTAGGATGATAGTGTCCAGTGCCCTGTCGGCATGTTACATTCCAAAGTCTCCATCATTTGCCGAGCTGCAAGATCTGCAAGACTGTGTCACTGCCCTGAGGCTGCTGAAAAAGTGGAGTCAGTGCCAAGAACTATCCAAAGGTGCCATGGAACCGCAGAGAATGCGAGGAGTTTGTCGCTCAAACATTGATATCAAAAGCACTTGCTCAAATGTTCAAACTTGCACTGCGAAGGAAGCTCTTGTATCTCCCTTCCCTCACATTTTTGCTCTTTGATGGGTAAATCCCAATTGAGCGCCACATAGTGTATTCAGGTCACTTCTTTGAATATCAGCTGTTCGCTACAGTTCCAGAGCTTGAATCTGCTTGCTCCCTGCGGCAGCCAAAAGGTATGTGGCTGCAAGACATTCAATCTCAAACGTCCCTGGGTAGCAGCGGTTGGTTTTGCAATCTTCGGTGGAGATTGTTTCTCCCGCCTTCACGTTTCTGCCAGTGATTCGTACATTACCTCCAGGGCAACACGATTGAGGTGTGCACCGCTTCTGGTTCACCTTCATTCAGGGCCATGTGATGCCTACAAAGCTGCCTATATCCTTGGGATTGTCAGTGCTTGGCCTGCAAGACTGCAAGATGTTTTCAGGGGTTTCACACAGAATTCATCCCAAAGAAATACAGTCCGGTAGATCTAGAGAGATGTGCCAAAGACCATTTGAATTGGCACGCTGTGGATTGCAGAGCCATTCGAGAGGCTGAGCGTGAAAGCCCTTAAAATGAATGTGTTAACATAGTAGCCGCGTGTATTCAAACCAATTCGGAGGTTCCGCGGCCCACCACCAACTGCCGTGTCTCTCTGAAACAGGCATGAAAACTAGAAATCTCCCTCCTCACGCAGGATCGTTCTCTGCACCTGGCCCCACACGATGAGTTGACTTTCCTGATGCATCTAGCTCCCATTTTTCTACCGAAAAAAAGCCGCTGTGCACAGCTGTCCTCCCATTTTGTAACATATAAAAAGGATTAAAAAGGGCTTCTCATGTGATCTTACTTTCCTTTGCTGATTCATGCTTCAGTATTGATTCTTTTTTGAAGCTTTGGTTCATTTCCAGTCCGCATATCCCATTGCATTTCGATCCCTGTTTCTTAGCTATGCCTTCATCGATCCGGCCATTGGCCTCTCCGAGACTTCCCCGAACCGTACAGACATGTCGTTTTGTAGTGCCTGTGCATGTATAGTACGTACTAGTACTTATATATATATATGCCTACAGATTTGTATATCCATGTATATCCTATACGTGTGCAATAACATAATAACTGTGTCCTTGGGTGCATGTCTGTAGACAGACGCATTCATAGGCTCTCCATCAGTACCCTTAGCTGCCTTCAATGCTGGGCAAAGGCGTCTTGACCTATATCACCAACTGGATCTTGATGGCATGCAGCTGCGGAATGCTTTGGCAGCTGCTTGTCGGCCTTGGGACGTTAGGACAGATCGCACTGTGGATAATCTGATTCAACAAAAGCGAATATTCCATTCCTAGGATATCCAGGGTTGTACCTGACGTTCCAAAGGGGTTGCCTGCGTTTTTGGGAAACAGTACGTTTTCGAGTGTCCAATCCAAATCTGCATTTCAGAGGATGGATTCAGTGCATGACTGCAGGTACCTGAGTGGCAAACATAAGCCAGAATATCGCGATTGGTCCTTCTACTTGATTTGTGCTGGCGTGCGTCTTGACTGCACATGGATACATGGGAAATGCCAGTTGCGAATGACTTCAAAGATTTCGTTTGAATTAGACATCTAATTAGATATATTAATTATTAGAGTATATTAGAGTTATGGATCCAGAGATACAGTCATCAGTTGGTCCAAAAATTGTTGTGTAGCACTGCAGTGCGTTGTAACATGTGCAGCAAAAAGGAATGCTGCAGGGTATTCAGGCTCAATCCAGCCTGAAAAATCACAGGTGAAAGGGTAGACCAGCCATGATTTCTGGCCTGGCGCTGTGGTTCCTGGAACTGTGCATGGACGCACAGTATGCTCGCAACAGTCTCTGGCCCGAGAATGCGAGTTCTCCAGTGGTCATGCTGACCTTAACCAGCTTGTGCGCCGCCTTGGACCAGTTGCTGGCGTTCCCATACTGCCCTCTACCTGAGATGATACCCAGACTTGATGCCTTTGTGATGGGCTTGGCACCCATGGCCTGCGAGACCCTAGCGGCAATGGCTGAGGGCGACGCGACCTTCGACCCGGTGAACATGCCGAGCCAGCGGGACATACAACAAGAGATCGAAGAGATCAGAGCAGGCCTAGCCAGCTGCGTTCAAGGCATGATCACCTGGCGCCTGAACTTACCCCCACACGATGGGGTGGGGTTTGATCGCCGGGTCTACTCAGTGATCCTATGCAGTGACGAGCTTCTCTACCACGACACGTTCCCAATGATTGTGGTGATTCGGCACGGCCTTGCTGCCATGTCTACAGCCATACAAGCCAGTTTGGCACAACGTGCACAGCTCACTGGATCCGCAGCACTGCAGGGAGTACCGCGCCCAGACCAAGACAACTCGTCCCAATAAGGGCCACAGTCGGGCTCGACAATGACATCTTCCCTTCAACCATGTGGAGTCGGCGACACTCGGGCTTCCCACTTTGCACCTTTAGAGACGAGGGTAGTTTGTCACGTGGACATTTTTGGCGAATAAACAGTGTTTTTGCCGTGTCGGTCGTGTGTTGACACCCCAAAACCTCTTTTGTGATTCTCCTCTCCTGGGCTCATCGCCCTTCCGGCATGAATGTCATGTACATGCAGTGGCCGCTGTCTCGTGGCACCAAGTGTGATTAGGTACACCAACATTTCATGTTTCAGCATCCATGTCATTGCATTTACATGTCATGACTCAATTTCATCTCCCCAGCTGGCGGCTCAGATGAACTCACTGGAGGAATTGTACCACGCCTTAAGGCAGGCTGGTTCAGAGCCCTTAGCACCCGTTCTGGTGTCCCATGGCGTTTTGAGTGTCAACCAGATCACGCTGCGATTTGGTGACCTTGTGGCTGCCGGCGTTCCTCCATGGCAATTGGAGGCAACACTGGCAGCGTCTTCCCAGCGGGCGGAAGTCGCTACCGAGGAGGCCCCACAGGTTGACCGTGTTGACCTACCGACCGTGGTGCCTCAGCGCCGTGCCAATCTTCAGGCTGCGTTGATGGCCGCAGAGCCCAACAACAGGGTTGCCTCTCTGAAGAAACTCGAAGATGACATCCTAGCCAAATCGACCAACCCGGCCAACGATGCAAGGCTGAAGACATACCTGGCAATCTGTCGGGCATGGGAAGTGGTGTCCTTCCCACTGGACACCAACAACATTAGATGCTTTGCTGCCTCACTCAAGGCAGGTGGCTACAAGAGCTCAGCCATCTACTTCTCAACCTTGTGTGGATACCAACAGCGCA